TATTACAAATAAATATATAGTAATTAAAATTAAAAATTATTGTAAAAAAATAATTTATTGTTAACAATATTTAATTTATTAATTTTTTTAATTTTAATTAATTCATCTATTTATGATAAAATAGTATAAATATATTATCTAAATAATTTATTTTATCATTCTAATTTATTTTGCAAATATATTTATTTTTTAAATAATTGTAATATATTTATATAATCTATATAAATATTATGTAATATCTATAGAAATATTTATATTTTGTAATATAAATTTAAAAGAAAACTTAATTTTTAAATAAGGGATAAATAAATAAATTTTTTTTTTAAATATAGTGTTCAAATAAAGTGATCATGTCATGTGGGAGAAGTGAAAAAATTAAATTTTTGTAATCTTGGGTTGGCATTATTGCGCATTGCAAATGGCGTCGTAAGAAAGTAGGAGATCCATATTTTGTTCAATTCAAATTTAATCTTATAGTATCTGTTTAATTGTTACGCTAATTATATTATTAGAAATTTAATTAATAAAACTAAATAATAAACAAGATTCTGTTAAGTTATTACAATTCATAAAAGTATTTAAAAAAAAATTGTAATTATGTTGGTAAAAATGTAATTTGGTTGGTATTTTATTTCTGTTTAGGTTGGTGTCACTGCTCACTATAGTGGACATTGTTGAAAGCGCGGTTGAAAGTTGCAGAGGTTGCAGATTATTTTGTGAGTAACAATATCTTAAAATAATATAAATTACAAATATATTTAAATAATCAAGTTCAATTTAATTAAAATATTTTAGATTTTGATTAACTTTTGTTGATAATTATCAGAAATTTGAGTGTTTTGTAAAATTTGATAATGCTTTGGAATTTAACCTAAAAATTACTACGAAACGTATTTCACATGTAAAATCGTCATCTTTAGAGATGTTTGTCCATCGTATTTTAGAGAGAAAATTTAAAAGCAAAATTTTATTAATATTATTTGTATCGTACATTTATTTAACTTTTTCATTTATTTACAGAGCTAAAAGATGGAATAAGACAACCACAGAAAATTGATATATTTCTCCTTTCGGCGTTATCAATTCTTTTCAACTCAGGTGAATATTCTTTTGTTTAAAAAATAATATTTTACAGAATTTTTAACTTTAAAAACTTTATCTTGCACTTTTTTTTATTTAAAAATTTTAACATTTCTATGAATTTTATATTTGTAAATATAATAAATATTTAATTTTAATTTTCTGTTTTTACATAAATGTAATGATTGAAACTTGATTTTAAATTTTGTAAAATTATTCAATATATATTTTTCAAAAAAAGTTTTCTATATTTTTATGTAAACTTTTGTTTTTTTATTTATCTACAGAATTCAGACTTGGAGAAGAATTGGATGACATTTTTATCCATAACTGAGATGACAATGACAACTTCTATTAAATCTACGAATAAGTGAGTCTCTTTTGTCTTTTCTTTTTGTTTTCATATTTATTAGAGCAGTGATTTAATTTCCTTGATAGAGAAAATTATTATTTTACTAACTATTAATTAATTACAAAGTTCATAATTTCATATTGCTAATTATTTAATATTTATAAAAAAAAACTAAGAATAAGAAAGTTTCATATTTATAAAGTTAACCTAAAAAATAATAGAATTAATTTTAATAGAATTAATAGAATTAATTTTTTTTTAAAATCTTATTTTAAATTTTTGTATAAAATAGTTTTTCTTTCTTAATTTATAGATTTCCAATCATGAAGGATGGGTGTTTGTTGCGGAGCTGCTCCTGGAGGAGATCTGGCATTGCTGAGTCGCAGTTCAATGTGAGTTGTTAAATTTTTTATCTTAATTTATGTATATTTTGATATAATGATCAATGCTATTAACAAAATTAATTTGTTTAAATATTTAGAAATATAAATATGTATAATTAAAATTTATTTTAGTATTTGTAAATGATATTTAGTACAATATCAAATGTTAACATTTATAAATATTGACATATTTAAAAGAATATTAATAATCATTAGAAAAATCTAATAATTGAGAATATTCAGTATTTGTTTTATTTTATTTAACAGATATATAATATAATGAATTATTTTTTTCAGGCAGTTGGTCCAGTAGCAGGAAGATTTAGCAGTCATCGTACCTTTAAAACGTCGCGAAAAATCGCAAATTGTAAGTATTCTTTTTCATTGGTTAATTTTGAGCGAAGTAAAATTTAAAAAATTAGAAATAATGATAATAAATAGATATTATTGAAAATATCCTTTTTTAAATAATATGCATTACTAGTGAAAAATAGTTTTCAATACTTTAAAATCTTTTTAGAAATATTAATTGTGATAAAAAGAAACAAAATTAATTAATGATTTTATTTATTATTTTAAATAAATAATTTTGGGATCAATTGTAATAATTAACTATACAATCAAATTAGGAATCCTTTATTTTACATATGACATGTATTTTTTTTTTATTTTCAGTCTATTCCAGGGAAGAAACTTTCTTTTATTTAGAGAGATAGAGAGAGTATGGTGTCATCATAATGTTTAACACGACGAAAATATTCGCAATAGGTAAGTTGCCTTTGTTAATTTTAAACATTATTACAATAATCTAAATATTTAGAATATTGTCAATATTTATTAGAATTTTAAAATATAGTTGTAAATTATTTAAGTTTTAATTAATTTTTATTGTTTCAGTGTTTTTCAGTCCATGCCCAATAAACAATCTGAAGGACAGGAAGGATGTGGAAGAAGAAAAGTGGTCCCTGCATACTTTTTTTTATAAAATTTTTTGTTTTCTTTTTTCTTTTTTTTTATAAGATTTTTTTTAACGCTCCCGGCCTCGCGCAGAAGTGCGCGCAAGAAAGAGGGATCCTCGGGAGGAGGCCTGAAGCGCTCGAGAAGTGGCGATGTAACTTTTGCCCCGACGTGGGATTCGCCGATCGGTGAGTCGATTTTTATTTAACTCCTTCCCTGTTTAAAACAGTTATTTTTTTTTATCAATTTAATTAAAATAGATTCATAAATTGAACATTAATTTTTTTAGACATTTTTTGTTTATAAATTTTTGAATTTCTTTGACTTTTAAAAAAATAGATAATATATCATATTGATTGAAATGAAATATTAAAATTAAAAAATAAACAGGGAAGGAAATATGACAACATAGTGACAGCATTGACAAAATTATTATTTTCTGGTAATTTTTAGGTGTAATCTAAAAGAAGCATATGATATTTTCGGAAATTTGTCCCCTCAAAATTTCTAACACTCCCCTACATTCTAAAATATTACATGTTTTGTTGATTGCTATCTTAATACTAAGTAAATTAATATTATTGTCAATGTTTCTTTTCATTGTTTATTTAATATGTATGTTATTTATTTACTGTGTGTTCAATATTTTTAAAGTTTCTTAATTTTTCTTATTGAGTCAAAGTAATTTTCTTTCTATACAAAAGTAATTTAAACTAAATTTAAAAAATTTTATTAACTTTAAATAATTTAATAAATTAATTTTATTAACAATTTTTTAATTTTGCAAAGTAAATTTTATTTTCAAAAGTTCAAAGTTAATGCATGTGGAATTAAAAATTAAAAGTTTTTGATAATTTTTTAATGATTGACTAATTAAATGTTTTTTTTCAGAAGAAATCGCTCAGGTGACGGTTGCGTCCCGGGACGTTAACCCTAGTGTAGGTCATTTTGCACCTGGGCGGTATTATTTTCGTTTCGAATATATCTGTAGGTAAGGAATTCGGGAAAAGTATTAAAAAACATTTTTTCGTTTTAAATATAGCTGTAGGCAGGAAATTCGGGAATAGTAGGCAAATTTTTTTTCGTTTTAAATATAGCTATAGGTAGGGAAATCGGGTAAAAAAAATGTAAGTAAAAAAATAAGTAACTGGAGTACCAGTGAAAATTTACTTTATTTCAATCTTTAATTTTTTTGTCACTATGTTGTCTTTTATAATTTAATGTTGTGTAAATGTTTTCTAAGTGTTTTGTATATGTTTTTTTAAGTGTTTTGTGAATGTTTTGTTTAATTGATCATTATTTTCAGATGAATCAACGTGGTGAGCAATAATATTTCTTTTTAATTGTAATAATCATTTCTTTTTTCAGGAATGTTTAATTTATTATATTCTTAATCTATTAATTAATCATTATTAATCTATCAATATATATATATATATATATTCATCTATTAATTTATATATTTATCTATTAATCTATATTTATCATATATGAAAATTTTATTATTATTATATAATTTCAAATAATGTCCTACTTTCTCTTCTCAAATTATTTAATATTTTAATTAATTTGATTTATTTTTGACACTATTAGTATAAATTAATATTTAAATTAAACAAAATGTTAATTATTTGAGAATTTAGAGAATATTTAGAATTTAAAATTGAATTTTCTATTTGCTACTGCAAATTTTTCGGGTCCTTTTTTTGTTGTAAATTTTATTATTCAGCATTGCGATCGTTTAAATCGCAGCTGTTTTATTTTCTTAACTGTGAGTGTTATTAATATTTCGAGTAAGTACAATTTTCGATTTAAAAATTAGATTTGAAATATTTTTGAAAAATACAATGGTATGAAGTAAAAATTAATTTTGAATTTATTATAATTATAATTTATTCATCATTTATACTTCTTACCATTGTATTTTTCAGAAATATTATAAATCTAATTTTAAATTCTCCGCCAAAAAATCGCATTTATTCAAAATATAGATACGCTCACAAGTTTTCGGTATACCGGGATATAAAAAATAAAAACAACAGAATACAAATACAATTTTTAATTATTAAAAAATATATCCTCTTTAATTGTTAAATATTATATTAACTGAGTAACTAAAATATTTAATAAATTTAAAAATTGTATTTGATTTGACTACCGCAGTTTACTGTTTTCCCGCTTATTCTGTATTGTTCCCTAGTCTTTCCCGCGCTTTTAATTATTGTTGTTATGATTTCAAATTAAAGACTGAAGGTCAAATGAGATCAATGAGGTTTAAACGTATCTAATATCGTCTAATTATAAATTCGTCTAGTAATTTGTATATAGTGGAAAAGAAAATGGTGAATTTTTATGTCACAAGATATTGCTTTATTATTTTTCAATTTTGAAGGTAAGGGATACACAAATATATGTTACTCAACGTAAATTTATTTACATTAACATAAATTTTCCAATTATTTATTTATTGCAAACAAATTTTATTATAATTTTCTTAAATAATTTGTTGAAAAAAAGATAATTAGATGACAATGGTTGAGGTTAGTTGTATCTTTGCAGCTGCACGTTTTCCACGTGTCTTTGTAAATTGAACACGTGTAGCAGAAAAAAATTATAATTATTGTTCTCCTCTTTCAGATTTCGAATCGAAAACAAAATAGATAAAAAAAGAAGTAATATTTTCGTTAAGAATAAAAATTATTTGGGATATTTTACAAGAATTCAGGAGAAAAATCGACATTGGATTTCAAAAATCGAGGCTGGTGTTTCCAAAAGAATATATCATTAAAGAAAATTCAATATTGATAAAGGTAAATATTTAACGATAATCTACTTATTAAAATAATTAGTCTGTTAAAAATATGTCACTTATTATTTATAATAATTATATATACATCTATATAAACATTACATATAACAATTTTTGATTTTGATAATCGATTTACAATTATAAAAATAGGAAACTCATGGAGTTTGATTTTTAAATTTAATTTTTTAACAATAATTATTTGCGAAGATTGCATTATATATATAGTTAAGAAAGTAAAATACAATTTCAATGTCGCTTAAAGCTTTAACGTTTTTTTCATACTGGACATTATTTCTCAAAAGTTTTCCGATGACTAAAAATTAAATATTAAAAATATTTTATTAGTTGTTCTTTTAAAAAAATTTCTAAAATATTAAACATGATTTGATAGAAATTATTTTGCCTTTATATTTTTTTTTTATTTTCAAATTTGAAAAATTAATAAATTTTTAATATTTTTGCTCAAACACTTGAGAAATAATATCCCTATATTCTCTCTTTCATAATTTAATTAAAATTATATATATATATATATATATATATTATATAAATATGAAAAATTAACATAGATTTTCATTCTTAAACTAATAGTTGAGTCAATTACATTGTAACTTTATACAATATTAAAATATGAAATATTTCTAGATGTTATTTTAAATTCACAACAGGTAATAACTATCACAAGAGTTTCATTCATTACTATTATAGAATTTGTAATACGTCATTGTAGTTTGTGAACATAATAACAGATAACAAATATTTATTTAAAAATGATTCATATAATAGAATAATGAATAATGATGTCAAATTTTTCGTCAACTTTGTTGACTAAAAATTGATAAATATACATTTTGCGCGTTTTTTTTTAAATATGTTGCATTTTTAAAATACAAAAAGCATATTACAAAATTCAAAAGTTAAAAAATACCTCACATAGTCAAATTAGAAATTAAAAATTAATCTATAATATGTGATGAGTAGTCGATTTTACAGACTTTAATCTCTTAATTTTAATACTTTTTTTTATATTCGGGTGAGGCGAAAATTTCTTAGTAGTATAAATACTCGAATGGAAAACTTAGTTTTTAGTATTTAGCGTTTTTTTAGCGACGTTTTCGCGAATCGTCTATATCTGGTGGATATAAAACCGGTAACGATTGACTAGGTCTTGGTGTATTAAAGCTAAAATTTGGTCTTCTATTGTCGTTGGACCATGCTTCAACAACTATCTTCTTGCAGCTGAAATCAAAGAGAATTTTTTTTTTTAAATGTAAATAGTAGATTATGCAAAATTACATTTTTATCAATAAATCTAAGTCAATTATTTGAAAGTAATTGGAAAAAATAAATTTTCAAATTTTCTTAGTAAAATAATATTTAAAAACAATGAAATTGAAATTAAGTTTAGTATTGAAAAAAATGAATTTTTAAAAAATTCAGACCAACACCAAAGCGTGAGAGAGGAAGAAGAACCAAATCTACTTATAGTATATAGTAAAAGAAGAATAATTTTGCATAAATATAAATAGTAAAAAAGATAAAATTAGAATTATTTAAAATTCAATTAAATGGAAAATTAATTTATTTAAAATTAAGTAATTAGTTGAACTTTATTAAAAGTATTAAAAAAAAAGAATCTGAGAAGAAAGAAATTACTTTCACTAAAGGAGAAGTTTTTTTTTTCTCTAATAAAAGCCTTTTTCACTCTCATTCACACCTGCAAGTGTTTGGATCGAAGTAGAAGTTTGTAGGACATTGTTCAACTTCCTGACATTGACAGATACAGAGCTCAGGGTTCCATGTTTTCTTGGTGTTACCCGCTTTGCAATTTTCTTTCTCGTCAAGGTTTTTACACTGACATCTGCATTCTTCCGGCTTGTATATTTGATTACTATTACAATCCTGTAGAGAAAAAAACATTTTTTTTTAAATTTTAATATGATATAGAATTTGTTGCAATTTATTTTATAGTTTGATAATTTTTATCAAATATAAAAAAAGGACTTACTTTTTCTTTAATCGCACAAACACATCTACATGCTGTATGCTCTTCTATTGGTACAATAATTGCATTTTTAAACCTAAAAGGTTTATGATTCTCTGTCGAATAATTTATCGTTGTTGCTGTTATCTGAGGAAAAAAGGGTACAATTTTTTTTTCAATTTTATTAAATTGATTTTTAATTATTTAAAAATTAAATTTTGTGAAATGCTTAAATTACTTACTTCATAGTCTACTATTTTATTTGCTGTCGGTTCACAAGCCAATAAACTATTTTGGCAACAGCCTCCGCATCTTTTTACTCTTATACATGCGGGAAAATAAATTGTCGATGGTTCAGGATTTTTGACAACTTTTACAACTGTACTCTCGGGCATACATTTTGCAAATTCAGGTCTTATTGCTCTCGATTGAGAGTCCCTTCCAACACGAACTAAAAACAAAACACAAGACAAAAAATTTAATACATTTTACTAATAAACATTTTTTTTGTTTGTTACAGAAGTGAACCAAATAGAATGACAAGTACAAATTCTCAAATTGTGTCATTCGCCAACAGTTATTTCACACTTGCAGATGGTCTTGCTACTGGATTGGAAGATTATCTAGCCGACAATGTTATACTCGTTTGGTTTGATAAAACAATTAAGGGCAAAAGGAGTGTGAATAGTTTTTTGAAATATCATAAAGTAAATTCAAGACATATTTTTAATGATATTGTACCAACTGATACCATCGATTACAAGAAACGCAAATCGAATAGGTAATTCGCAAAATAATTATTCTTTAATCCTATTTTGTTTGTGATTTTATAGTCATTCTATTGTATAAAAATTAATGAGTTCTTTATTTCTTTATTATTCTCAACTTTTATAGAGAAAAAGTAATTAATATAAAAATAATTAGTCTTTATTTTCCCATTTTGTTCTTGACCTTATAGGAAAACTAATTAATATATTTAAAAAAAAAAACTGTTTCTTTTTTCTCAGGAAACACAATCATTCGACAGATTCGAATGAAACGAAAAGTTCAAATAGCTCAAGTGAAAATATTGATAATTCAATGCATTCAATTGATAGCGAAGGGAATATTGTAAAAGAAGAAGAAGAAGGAAATTCTTATGAATTGAGTTATGGTGATCTTAATCAACTTTTTAAACTCGATATTGCACCAACAATTGCTTCAGAAATAGAAGATAGTATTGAAAAAATTAAACAATTAAAAGTAGAAGAAAATGCAAATACAACGGAGGAACAAGGACTAAGCAATAGATTTAAAAAGGCAATTCAAGTCGAGGGAATTCAATTTCTTCGAGCTAATGGTGAACTTCGTTTGTGGAAGAAACGTAAAGGTAATTTTACAAAGAGAAAAATAATATTTTTCTAAAATTAATTCTGAAATAAAGTACATAAAATAAAATTATTAAAATGGAAATATTAAGAAAATATTTTTAATAGAAAATAAATTTTCCAGGCAAAAATGTTTATGACTCAGTACCAACATCAGCAAGTGTTTGGAGAAGACCCTGCAATTTACAAATTGCATATTCCCTTATAAAATCAAAAGCCAAAGTCTCGAATATTAATGTCGAGAATAATTCCAAATCGTCATCGTTCAAATTTCAAAACAGTGGATTACTGAGTTTTGATGAAATAAGTGAGTTAAGCAATCATTTAGTACCAAATGTAAATAATTTTGGGGGTTATCTACGTAATAGAAATTTTTGTGAGGATAGAGATAATTTTTTAAAAAGTTTCGGTGAGGAAATAGCAAAAACTGAATCGGAACATCATCGCTATGTTCCGGAATATGTAGGAAATAAACTTGTGTTTCGTAAGACAAATAATACCGATTGCGAGGAATCAAATGATTTTGTATTCAATCATCAAATTCATATGATTATCTATAAGGGTGATCGTATTAAAAAGAAAAATTATTCTAAAGATTCTGTTAAAAAGTCGATTGAAGAATCTATTGAAGAATCTATAGAAGAATCAGTTGAAATGTCTGAAGAATCTATTAAAATGGAATAATTTTTTTTAAATTAGTTTTGTAACGGCTGGATCCGTTAAGATTTATATATTTTTTTATTTTGTTTTCAAATTATTTGATTTTAGTTTTTGTTTATTTATCTAGAAAGAGAATATCTATTTTATTAATTTAAGTTGAAAATCTATTTTTTAAAAACAAAAAATAAGATATTTAACTCTATTACTTACTTATTTCTCCTGAAGCTGGTAAATCTTCTATGAGATCGGAATAATTAAATTTTCCTAAAGTATTCATTGTCCTCGCAATCGGTAACGATATCTGAAAAAAAAGTGAAGATGTCATCAGTTACGTTAATATTAATATAAAATAATTATATACTCTCCAAGAGTTATTTAAGTTTAGTTTTTGAAAAAAAACAGTATGAAAATAAATTGATTTATTAATTCTAATAACAATTATAGAACTATCAATTTTGAATAACAAATTAATGAAACGTGAGGATAAAAACAAAATTACGGTTCATGATTCAGGTAGTTGTCGAGTCGAGTAAAAAATCTTTGACTTAATGACATATCACATTGACGTATACATTTAAAGATAGTGTTATATTTATTTTCTTACTGCAAAATTCTTTTTTTTTCTTTGCAAAATTATGGAATTCATTAAATTTAATTGTAAGTCGCAATTTATTTACGTAAAAAAAGTGATATACTTTTAGAACCATACAATTCGTCAGAATTCTTCGTTTATTTTTAAATAAGGAAAATAATGATTAATGGCGAATTTTTATACTTCGCCGAAAGTATTAAAAAAAACAATAAATTTTCTTTTAATACAAGACATTTTTATGTCATTACAATTTTTTTATAATTATATTATTAAATAGACTTTAAAATAATTTATTTATCACTATACAAATATTAATGTATAGGAAATATTGAAAATTTAAAGATGTGTTTTATTTTACTTTTAAACGCTTTTAATTTCCTAAAAGGAGATTGTGATCATGTGAGTCATCGAATTTTAATAGCATACTAAGTTGCATGAGTAAAGAAACCATTATTATTAATAGCAACAACAACAGGTCAACACTCGGAAATTGTTAATCGCAATCCTTTCTACCTACGTCCTTAAAGGTCACTTCTTTGATTCAGAATTTTTCATCCATTCATAATGTATTCATTCTTTATAAATGTAATATTTGAGATCATCATTTCACAGAGATTTTCTTAGAATATTTTTATTTCAAAAAAAGGCACTAATTTTTTTTAATAATTATAAAAATAGGAAGTATTTTCCTTTTAAATTTCCACCACTCTCTTATTTCTCATTGAAAATAAATATTATTCACATATTGTTGATAGATTTTTAATTTTTCTAATTATCTTCATTTTATTAACATGTTTCTAGAATAAATCATTGATTATAAAATGATTTTGAAACAATGCATTTTATCTTTTCTATTCAACTGGTGACAGGGCTCTTGGAAATTGTTTTACTCATCTCACTATACTGAATACAAAATAGGCATTCTCCTCGAAAAGCAAAAGTCCTCAAGTAGCATAAATTACTTTTTTCCTGGGATTTCCCTTTATTTGTCGAAGAAGGATATGAGGTCTTTTTTTTTAATCGTCATATGAAATTGGGATAAGGTTATATTTTTTTTAAATTCTCGAAAAAATGACAATTTCTTTAATAAATATTTCTTAAAATATTTTCTTTCACGTGACAAGAATTAATGTAATTATCATATGAAGGTTATTGCGATTATAATGCAAATTTCAATAAGTTATGTGCTATTTTATTTTTCTGCACCTGACATTCATTGAATGTTCTTGTAAAGGTGGACTTGTGAAAATTCCGAGAAAAACAATCCATTAAAAAGCTATCGAATTTACATTGGGTCTTATTCAATAATGTTATCACTTTGTCAGTGGTATACTAATTTTTTTCACTTTATTAACAGAATTCATTTTTTTTTTCGTTTATAAAATGAATGCAGGAAAAAATTCATTTGAGTTGTGTAACATTAACATTTTTCCTTGTGCCAATTATTATTAATTCAGTATTTTTGCATTATAAAAATTTTGATTCTAAAATATTTGCTTATCAGTAAATATTTTTTAAATATCTTTTTTCTTTTTATTTTTTATAAAAAGAAATCAGTTTTATGTTATGAATATTTTTATAATGTATGTCAATATTTTTAAATCGTATATGAAAGTTTAATGAATACTTTGAAGGACATTTTTGATGCATTTTGAATTTTAGATAATCAATTTAGAGTTGAAAATTTTTCTATTAAAATATATATATAAAAGGGAAATGTCAAGCGGATGTGTAACACTAGATTTTTCTTACAACCTTGTACACAAAAACAAGGTCGTTTTGGTCTGTGGTGATTACCTTCTTACTTTCGCGCGTTGATATGTTTTATTAATGGTACCCTAATTGTAAGTTTCAGAACGGTACCGACACCGATGAATCATCCTTGAAAGCTTAGTTCTTTTCATTGAGTCGTTACTTATTCTATTATCGAAATGAATTCTTTATTTGCTTTATTCACTCATCAATTTAGAAAAAAAAGAAAATAATTTTATTCTATCTTTTAGAAAAAAAGGACGTTTATGATAAATATTTCATAGCGCATTCTTTTACTCTCTTTCTCACTCTTTATATCTAAAATCAAAAACTTGTTTCTCTCAAGGATTCAGTTACAAAATTTCTATATTAAGACGCTTTAAAAATCATTTTTTTTATAAATTTTTAATTTCCAAAATTCTATTAAAAAATTAACTTTAAAATATGTTTAAATATTGAGAAAATAAAATTTTAAAAATACACAAATAATTATAATTAATTAAATAGAAAATAAATAATTGAAAAAAAAATTTGCACTGAGGAAAATTAAATTAATTTTTTTTTTATCTTTTTACGAATAATTGGATCAACAATATTTACAATTGCAAACAATATGTATCATTAAAACATCTCGAATCAGTTTGAATGTGATTCATATTATCTTGATGATAAAATTACATTGTTGAGATTACATTTTTTTTTCTCAGGTGTATATGAACATATACAAAAAAAAAACTATGAAAAAAAAGTGTTAATTATTGAAAGTTGAAAAGATTTTATAAAAATGTTGCTTCACGTATAATTCATTCAAATGCTCTTTTTTTTATTCTGATTGAAATAATTATCATTCATTTCAAAAATGAATTTCATTTGTAAAAAATTGAAGGTATCCTCGACATTATTGAATTTGACCTTCGCGAACAAATAAGATCATTAGAAAATGCTAAATAACGTTTTTTTTTTAGTTTTTTAACGTTCAAATAAAAATAAAAATTTACTTTTATCATATAAAAAAAAAATTCATCTATGTCATAAAATTAATGAAATATTTCAATTGATGTGTCACAGTTTTTTCAAGTAGTTTACAACTTATCACATTATTATCTTTCACATTCTTGGTAAATGTTTCGACAAATTAACACTTTGGGGGATTAAAAATTAACATTATTTGAAAAAAATACCTTTACATTATAAAAAATTAATTTAACTTTCTGATAAACTGAATTCAATATTTGGTGACAATATAATTTTCTTCATTGTTAAATTACACTTAAACAAAAATTGGTTTTCAATTGCTATATAGAGGAATCCGTGTGCGGAAATACTTTGTAACCATGATTTTAATCACTCTTAATTATTCTGCGTCGCAGTATTACACAACTTTTTTGTATTTTCCAAGCCTCTTTTCAATATTCATGAAAAATCAAAACGATGAAAATATTTTTTTCAAATTAAAATTTTATTTGAACAATTTTTTAATGTTCTTCACCTCCTTATAAATTAATTGAAAAATTGGTTAATTTTATAAATTTAATGAGATTGAACCACATAACTTAAAATCTAGTAAAACTGGTTAAATCGAGCAATGTACTGGATATTAGGTTACTCATTTATACCTCAATAAATTGCGCTAATCTTTCCATTAAGGTGAATCTGCATGCCTATTACATTGTAATAAAATTGAGGATACACTTAACCAATTTCATCGCTTAAGCGTGAGTCAGATTTTTTCAAACCATGTAGAGATAATGAAAAAATACTGAATTGTACAGGTGAATTTAAATTTTATTTATCTTTCAAATTAAAAAAGAAACAAATTTTACTTTACTATCAAATCGATATTTTTCTTTTATCAATATTGATATTCTGTTTATCTCGAACTTTTTTTTTTTTGTTGACTCTTATCATAAATTATATATGATAATTTTGTTTTTCAATAATTGAGTATATAATTTTTAGAGAAAGTTTAAATCGAATTACCGAAGTAATACTAGAATTGTCAGGTACTATCCTCCTTTGATTTTCAACATCAGAAAAATGAATATCACTTGAATTTTGTTGTTGTATTTCTGATGACACTTCACAACACATAAGCGCGAAAATTAAGAACCACATTTTTTTTTTTTTGTTTTTTTGTTTTTCAAGCCGATTCGAATACACTCGCGAGTCTTTACGATTGTGCAAAACAAGCCTGGAGGCTGTCTTGCCTTTCTTTCTTGTTCGATTATAGTAGAAAAACGAGTTCTTGGCACTTGTAATTTTTTTTTCCAACTATAATGAGAAAATTTTTTAAAAAAACACTTTGCTATCTCTCTTTCATTTTTCACCTGAATTACGACAAATCAATTTCCGTGTATATCAAACGAGACACTAAACGTGTGTGTCGTTCACGCTGGCTCGGTTCCTTCTGCTAATGGCAATGTTTCATGTCGTCATGTACTTGCGACAATACTAACACACCTTTATAGAAAAGAATGTCCGTGTCATATAAGTAATTCTTGTATATGATACGATATTTTGCAGACAATAAATGGAATTTTTAATTTTTAATTTTTGATAAGTATCTTCTCTCCAATTCACAATTAATTTCTCCAAGGATATAGAAATTTTTCTCTTGTTCAAATACATCATCATTTAAAAATTAGTTTTTTTTGAGAAAATTGTTTATTTTCTTTTAATTCTAATTTGTTTATTAAGTTTTTTTTCTCGTATTTCTTTCTTTTAAGGAGAAATTAATTTTTTTCTCTAATAATTTTTTTTCACTTTATATTGTTATCAGTTATTTTTTTTTTCTTTCTTTACTTTTTCCCCCAATATTATTGATGACTGATTTAACTGTTTAAACAATCAAGAAATGTGCCAAGTGTTTAATTGTCGAATTATATAATAAATTTATTACAGAAGGCAGAATTTTTTGTTGTGGTATTGTTCTCAGGTGAAAAGAATGTCGTTGAGCTTTAGACTCGTTCCTATTACAAATAACTAATTATTTTCTGTTATTCGCAATTATTAATAATTAATAGAACTCTTGTTTGACTTTTGCACTTGTATTTCTAAGAAATCATTTTTTTTTTAACTTAAAATTTTTTACTCATATTCAGGATATATTGTCTTACTGAGAGAAATTTTCATTTAAATGAACCGAAATTTTTATAAGTATCGATAGAAATTGTTTTCTATTTTCTTCCCACGCCTTAGGATATCATCTTTATAATAGAATAATTTTTTTTTGTTGAAAATTGATAATTAAATTGTCATTAATTTGCTATTAATTTTAATTAAAAAAATAATTTTTTTTTTTTTTGTCAAAAATGAAAACTATTTTGATAAAAAGAATTCCTCAACTGAATAAAATATTTTTTATTCAAAATATTGCTTTTAGTTTAATATGCTGCATTATTAAAGTACCTTTCAACTTCAATTATATAGAGTTGAGCATTTAAGACGATGTCATTATGTAGTTAAAGCAGATTTTTATTTAATTTAGTTCTCTATTCTTCTATTCAAACCAGAAGCAAACAAATAATTTAATATTCTTTAATATTTGACTATTTCCGTTTTTCTTTCATTTATATTGAAGGACATTATTTGTTTTTTTTCAAATTAGAAGTTAAAATATCTTTGTAAAAAGAATAAGTTAGAATCATCAATTTTTCCTTTATTGAATTTTAAATGTTTTTTTTTTTTTATAGAAATCTAATGAGGATATTAAAATACAAGAAAAGAAGCTTGTAATTTCCAAAAAGTCAAAAAATTGACTCAAATGATTTTTTAATTTCTTTTAAAAAATTATCTTTCTCTCTTGATATTTTCTATAATTGACAACAGAAATAATCGCTGATAAAAGCTGAAAATTATGAATGAAATAAATCATTAACTAAATTAGTAAATAAATTTTTTTTTTGTCTAATATGGTAGTTAATTATTATTGATATCAAGTTATTGATTATTTGATTTTTAATTACTAGAATAATTGTCAATCCGATGTTGAAGATTTTGTATATTTTTGTTAAGAAATTAATTTCACCCCTTATTGGCATTATACATCCAATTGGATGAGAATCCCAAGGCGTGGGAAATTGGAGACAATGATCATATCTAGGGAATTTGTCATCTAATTTTATTTAAAATGATGAAATTATCGTGAATAGAAATATTTGATAATTATTTACCTATGATTAATGTCTTCTTCATATTCCAAACAACAAGAAGTTGGAAGTTTGCATATTAGGGATCCAAAATATTTTTCACTATTTGTTGAATTGCTTTTTAAATTAAAATTTTCCTTTATACACCAATCAAAATATCCTCTAGCTCCACAACACTTGAACTGAAAAATAATTTTTTTTTTGTTATTTTTTTAAAATTGCTTTTTAAATTTTTTCGAAAAAAATTCAATTTCTACAGATTTTTTATTTATCCATACCATTTTATGAAGGTAGTCCCAAATTTCTGTAAATTGTAATAATTTTTGTGTTTGAATAGTTGATATAATTTTTGCTTCTACATATTGGTGAATTGGATATTCATAATTTTTTTGAATAATTGACAAGGAAATTAAAATTAATGCTGATAATACAGCAATAACTGCGTACTGAAAAAAATATATCAATTATTTTTACTTTTCGATTTAAAAAAAAAGAAACACTTTTCACACTCGCGTATTTTAATATCAATGGCATTAAATTTAATCTTCATATTAACAAACTATATTAAAATTACTATTTTAATGTACATTTTAAGTTATTTTCTTAGAATTTAAAAATTAAAAACTTGACCATTAAAATATATTATTTTACTTACAATAAGATTTTTTTTTGACGATTTCAAAAAACAAAGACCACTAATTGCTAATACAAATAAAATAATTGCAGTTGCAAATAGCGAAAATATTGATATTAAATAAACATTGAAATTTAGAAAAAATAATAACATCTCCTTGTAAGAAATCATCATTGTAGCACTTGCAAAATAAACTAAACCAATTGCCTACAATTTAAGAATAAAAAATTACTTTTTATAGTTTAAAATCATAAATATGGTGATATAAAAAAAAATATGTTTCACCAAGATTATACAATTCAAGATAATTCTTGCTAATTCCATATTGTAATAACACATTTCTCGTGAAAAACGATTTCTTTTATGGAATTTAAAATTATTTCTATAATTTAATTCTGAATTTAATTCTTCAGTAGATTTTTGTTCCTCCATTACTAAATCTGGAGTTGACGTTGACACTTTTTTAGATTCCTTTCGAACTTTCGATACTATTATCATTATTATTTTTTTAATTTACGTATTAAGTTTATATATTTTTGAAATTACACATGTAAATTATAATTTACTGTTAAAATTAACATACCAATAGAAAATTCTGTAGATTTAGTTTCTCTTAAAGGATTTAATGATTCCCAGAGAAATAATCTTCGCATCTCCAATGGAGAATGAAGTGCTACATGATGATGTCTTGTGGGGGAATTTTTACGATTACCATCTGATCGAGAAGTAAATTCCTAAAAAAAAGTATTATTTTACTTTAAAATTATTTCTTCTATTAACAAAATTAATTAAATAGATATTTACTTGTCTTATTTTTCTTTTTGTGCCAAGGAAACTGTTCAAAAAAACATCAGTTCTTGTTTCTCTGTCATAGTTAACATAATTTAAAACCATTGATTAACAATTTTTTTTTCTAACATAAATAAAAATTTTCTTTTATTATTTACATGAAAATTATGGAAAATTCTTGTAAACTAAATAAACATTTATTTAAATTTGATTATTATTAAATGGAAATTATTAACCTTTTAATTACTTTATTCGTCATCTCTTCCGGAGATAACATGTTTTATTTTTAATGATCAAACAATTTTTTTTCAATTAAATAATTTTAATTCAATTTTATTTTACTAATTAAATTAATTTTTTACTTGTGAATAAAATATATTTTTTTTCATTTCATCAATATTTCTCTTGGTTATGTTGTTTCTTTTGTTTTTTTAAAAATAAAAACACATAAAAGTTTAATGTATAAAATAAATTAATTATATTTAAAAATATGTATGTATAATATCTTTCACAAAAAACACACAGTTAGAGCTATAGTTAAAAACATTACATTATTTTGCAATTAATTTAAAATTAATGTAAAAATGTTAAAAATCTAAAATAATTCATTCATTCAGTGTTTCGCGAACAATTGAAACTTCCTGAGTATTAATTACATTTCGATGATAAACACGAAAGTTAATAAATAAATGCAGAAATTTAAAAATGATTAGAGAAAAATTATACCTTTTTCCATTCAATTATCTACTTTGGTTTCAAGTACATTTAAATAAAATTTTATGAAATATTAAAATAAAAAAAAAAATAATAATTTAACATTTTTAGACTGTAAATTTTACAGTAACACAAAAATACTGTTTCTTTTTTCACTTTAAATGGAATTTCAAGACGAAATGTTAAAATATTTCTTAATACTTCAACATTTCGTACTTTTATAAAAATATTTCTCTTTTATAAATAAGAAATAAAATTAATCCTTGCCCATAAATTAAATGTTTTTAAAAACCATATTAAATTTTCTAAAAAATAAACAAACGTTAATTTCTTCTAATAATAAAATAAACTTTGTCCTCTCTATAAAAAAGCATTTCAGTGCTTTAATACTGTTAGATTATTTTTAAGTCCACAAAGAAGTTGGCATCATTCCCTCAACTGTTCCAGCAGTTGGTTTCAGTGTTTCGTTACATAGGAATTTTAGTGGCATGTCTACCAAATGTCCCTTAAAAAATTATTTATTGACATATACCGTTAATTGAAAATAGAAAAATGAAGAACTAAATTATTAATATTAAAATACTTACTCGAATTTTAGTTAACATGTTTCGTGCCATATCCAAATCGTTAGAACATAAAGGTGATTCATTTTGATATATTTTCAACATTGAAAAATTAACCACATTATCTGTTGGTATACAACGAAAGACTTGTTCGTAAATTTCAGTATTTCGCTTACTTCTCTCACACCACACGTCTTTGTAGAATGATTTTTTAACAATATCATCAATATTAATTTTATCTTTTGATCTCAATAGTCCAAGATGTTCTTTAAAGAGTTGCTTTCTTAGAGATCCTGCAAATTTGCCACAATCAAACGACATTTCGTTCATTCTTCCTTCTGTGAAAGCTTGGTCCTGAAATAAAAAATTCCATTAAGATTAATATTTTTGGTTTGATTAATTTAAATTGTTTAAAAATTAAATTATAAGATAAAAAATTATTTCACCATTAAGACTGTAATTAAAATATTTTAATATTACCTCAATAATAACAGCGATTTCACTATCTCTAGAAGCAATCATACTTCTATCATTAATGTTCGCTGATCCACATATCACGACTCTATCGTCGACAATCATTAATTTGCTGTGAACGTAAATTAATTCTGTTACAAGCGAGCCATTTAACATGGCGTGGGTCCTTAAACCATGGAATGTAATGTATTCGCTAGGGTCTTCAATTCCAGCATCAATTAGTCGATTTAAAAGTGCATCCCTTCCTCTATAAAATTTGAATTCATACAAAATTTAGTTATAGCCAGGAAATATTTCGTTTTGTGATTATCGTTTTTGATATACTTTTCAAAATTTTTAACTATATTTAATTTGAAATTGTTTTAATTATAAAAATGTTTATCACCTGGAAATTGAAGCATAATTCCAATGAGTTATCGCGTGAAGAGCTGTTCCAGTAGCTCCTCCAACTTCTCCTTCAAATCCTGGCAATAATGGCATTACCACAAAAACTCTAAACACCATTCCTTCTCTATGAGCTCTGATTATTCTTTTTAATAGCGTTTCACCAATACGATTCTTTACTATTGTGCCTTCGACATTTGCAAGTGTTATGAAAAATTGATTTTCAATATAAATGTACCTTTGAGCATTGCTAATTGCATGAATATAAGCCTCGTGAATACTTTGTTCTATCGTTTCTGGATCTAAAAATCCTGCAGACCAAGAACTAACGGATCTCAAAACTTGACACTTAACGTTATGCATTTTACTTTCATCAAAGTGAATTGAATATCCTGCATAATTTTTATATGCTTTCGGTAGAAGAAATGGATAGGTTGAATTTAATTTTGCCTTTCCTATCTGAAAAAGGTGTAACATCGAGATATTTAATTTTCACAATCTATTTGATATTACTATAATGATTAACAAAATTTTTTAATTCTGTATTTTCGTCCCTCAAAAACTATATAAAAATTTGTTTTTTTGTGTATAAGATTCCAAAATATAATTTCACCTTTATAGCATTCCATCTTTGAATAAAATGTCTAGCAACATCTCTAGCTGTCGCTTCCTGGACCATTATTCCCACATCGTGCCAAGGCATTCGTGGCGTTGTACTTCTGTCCACTAAATCTTGATAGGGACTATCAAGATTATTGAAATCCTTAACAATAAAATTAGTATAATCTTTTCCAAGCCAAAGCTTTGACGTTCCATTTAATTCTGGATAGATATCTCGACTTTCGTAAATAACTTCATCCTCCTCGTCTATAGGAGTTTTAATCTTGATACTAGGAAAAAATAATCAAATTAAAAAAATTCGGAATAGAAGCAAATTTAAAAAATCTTTTAATTATATGACAAAATATTTTACTTATCGACTGTGTCTTCTTCATCGCTACTACATTCATGAGGATTATAAACCATATTAATCCATTCTTTTCTCTTCATTCTCATGTTATATTTAACTTGAACAACTTTTGTTTTTGCCACTTCAAAAAGATTTTTTTTCTGTGGATCAGGTGTGTTACATTTAAAACTTTCATCTGGAAGTGATAATAGAAGAGGATCTCCTTTTTTTGTGTGAGATAGTGGCTCTGGACTTTGTTGTTCTTTACTAACTACTGGTCTAAAAATAATATTTGAAAATATGTAAAATAATTTTCTAGAAAATTGTGATGATAATTTTACTCACAAAACAGGAAGACATTTTGTCGTTGCCATTGCAATTGTATTTGTAGCAATTGCGAGCGAGAGTAAAACATGTTCTTTTGATTTGTATACTGTATTTGGTTTACTGCTAGTACTGGTCACTTTTCCTTTTGAAGGTATATAAATTGTTGACTGATGAGTAGATCCTAATTTTTGTAAAACGAGAATTTTATCTAATTTAATTTGTAGAAATATGAAAATTTTTACAAAGATGAATAGGAAATTTAATGAACTTCATAAAATTAGAATAGCTTTTCTTTTTATATTTATTACCAAGATCGGTTAGTCGATGCTCCGAATTGTCCCATCTACCATAACAGAGATCAATTCCACCTAAAAAGGCAACCGATTGATCGACAACGACAATTTTCTCATGATGAGCCCAAAGAAAAACGCCAACTCGAGCATGATCCGGATGTCTCAATACTTTTATATTTTGCGGACATTTTTCCACTAATTTTTGTTTACTATAGAAACTATTTATACCTAAAGCCAATTCCACTTCTTTATAAATCATCACAAAAACCTTTACACCGGCAATCTGTAATAAAATTACATTTTAGTTCATTATTTAATTATCATTTATCATTATTTTTAAAATCAAATAAATCTTACCTAATAAATCTAGCAGCTTTAAATACAATTAAATAGAACAATTAATTTGTTGAAATTATTTTCATTTGGAAATAAGTATAAAGTTGAAATGACTTACAGCTTTCCTTTCCAAAATTTTATCCAATCTCCAGTAATCTCCCTCAGTCACTGGTCTCTTTAGATAAATTTCAGGTGAAAGCCACCAATCAGCTATAAAAATTTCTTCAGTCGCAGCTTCCAGAGCATCTGCAACTGCTGACATATAACTTGATCCATCAACGAACCACGTTGCTGGAACTGGACAACGAGCTGGAGCAAAAGACTTGTGGGGATTCGTTTGAATAAACGACATACCTGAATTTTTTTTTTTAATTAAATATTCGTACATCTAATAATATTAGATATTTATTTTCGTTTTCAAATTATTTAATACTAAAGTGTATTAGATATATAATTACCTTCCTCAATAGAAAGACGATGAATATAATCCAGCCATTCTTTAGCTTTTCTTCTAGTCCAACATTTCATAACTATATGCCTATTAAGATTCATAATTTGTAATCCATTCCTTAAACCAGTTGAATACATTCCTGAACTAACTTCAAAACCATTGTCCATTAAAATTACGGCTTTGATTCTTCCATCACCAGGTCTTATGTATGTCACGAAAGTATCCTTCACGATTAAATGTCTTTTGTGCCATTTTCCACAAAGCGAGGTGCAAAATTGACTACATCTGACGCAACACGTCCCTGAATTTATTATAATCAATTGTATATAATTAATATTTTTCCTTATAAATGTTACATGAAACTTCGTTATGCTTTTTTTAACATAAAAGTCGCTACATATTGTTTTAACTTTTTTTTTTATTCTTTTACGGAAAATCTGATTAAATATAATTATTCTAATTGCCTTTTACAAATTTATATACATATTCAGTAATTTTATGAATCTGACATTGAACAAAATTAATAAGTATTTTTGAGATTAAAAACTGTATTAATTTTTTTTTAAATTTTTCTATAAATTTGTTCAATTTCTAAAATTCCCCTGCATAATTTTACATACCTTCAAGTAATCCAAAAAGATTGCATCCAGTTTTTGCTCCAGATCCAGTTCTTTTTTGAACTAAGCCTTCTTTGCCTTTTCCTCCAAGATCTCCAACAAATGAAAGATGAGACAATTCCAAAAAGCTAAGCTAACCATAAATGTTGTGTTTTAATATTTCATTGAATATTTAAAAATTAATTTTTTTTTTTTGCATGACCTTAAACGATAATTAAATATAAATTTAAAAAATGTTTCGATTCTCAAAAGAAATCGTTATTAGGTTTTAAATTTAATTTTTGTTTAAGACTATGTAAAAAAAAGTATCACAAGCGAAGCTCTTAATTTGAAAATTAGATAATTACAGTTTCTGGATGTCGTTTATAAATTTCAATTGTCAACAAATTGTCCAAATATTCTTCTAAAGCTTTCATTCTATGATTTATATGTTCATAAGGTACTAAAACATCTGGTTTATTGGGAAACCTTGGCAATGCCACTTTCCTTTGCCTTTGTGCTCTGTCTGTTGATAGATTTTTAAAACTATTTCTTCTCTCTCTATGACTTTTTGTTGGAAACGGTATATTAAGACTCGCTCTAAATATTTTAAGTTGATTGTGCAAGAATTGAATGTGTTTATATCGTTTTTTCACTGTCCACTCAAATGTTCCATGTTTAAATTGTATTGTATATAAATTTGGATTTAAAGGATGACTTGTTACACTACGTTCAATATCTATAACTTTTACTTGTATTTGTACACCGGGAATGAATACATTTCGATTTTGACTTCTAAATTTAATTGGCGGCTCATGAATTATCGAAAAAGGTAGAACGCCCGAATGATCTGTAAATAATTTTCAAATTAAATTTTTTTTTTCTTATTTACCAAATAATCTGATAGATAACATACAGTTTTAATAATTAGATACAATGAGAATAATTTTACCTCTGTTGTCAGTGAGTTCCAAATTGCTGTTTCGAATGCTAATAGTTTCTCCATCCTCGTTAATTGTTATTTCTAAGGATTCAGGTACACCAAGAAAATCATCATACTCAGAATCGTGTGACAAGGCTGAATCTTCAGCCACATTTTTAGGGTAACTGTCATGCACTATGTCAGTTGACATTTCATGGGAAATTACTTGGAATTTATCACAATCTGTTAATATGAAAACATATAAAACAACATTGTTAATTAAAATATTACAACAATTAGGAAAACAAAACACAATCAAGATTTTTTTAAAAAAATAAATCTCAAGGATAATCGTCTTCTTTTGTTATATTTCAAAAATGTCATGAGATAAATAAAACAAAGCACTATAGGTCTATAAACTAATTAATAATAATTTCTTAAAATCTTATTATTAGTTTTATGCACTATAATACAAAGATTATAATTATCAATAATTGTTAATAATTCCATATAATTTGTCAATCTCTAACTCTATAAATGTGAGAAAGATAAATTTCTGATAAGATAATGTCAAAAAATAAACCTGGAGTACTTTTACAGTAAATTTAATTAATAATTATTTCATAGTTTCATGTAACGTAAGTGAACAAATTTCAAAAATATATTAAAACTACACCAAAACCTTGAAATAAATGAGGTCACTTTCAACAAAAAAAAAATTATTATTCTAATATGTTAAAATCATGATTAAAGCTATTGATACACAATGAGTACACATAAAGATTTATTAAATCAGAAGAATAAATTTTTCAAAAAAAAAGAACATATTTTTCTACATAATTTTTTAATAAGTTTGTAAATATATCAATTTTTTGAGGTTAGAACAGAGAGGTTAGGGATTATATCAAAAATATAATTGAGAAAGAAAAAAAATATATGAAATAATAATAAGAAAACATACTTTTTTGTGTAATTCATGGCTTTGGAGTGTTTATTCACACAATGATGATTGAGACTATATAATTTTCAATCCTTTTACACATTTAATCATGCTTTTCGAAACGCGAACATATCCGAACATATCACCGATTATTTACGAATATCATACGAGTCTTCTCGATAATTTCCGAAGATACACGAATAACACCTGAATTAGCCTTGAATAGGCAACAGGTGATTATGATTTCTTCCGTAATTTTTATTATTACTTTTATGACTTGATACTCGTTAAACATGCATGTAGGATAAAAAATGTTTTTTCTTCGAAATAAGCGTTTTTGTTTTTTGCTTTAAACCATTGGATTTCTTTGTAAAAGAAATGAAATTGTTAGTCGATTGTTGGTTATTACTTTTTAAATGCTTCCGTGTCTTGTGGGTTGATATCATTGCAGGGGCTTGCTTACAGTAAATTTTCTTTGATTTTGTTTTATAGCATTGATGATTAATTGTATTTTTTAAATAATGATATATAAAATTGATTTTATAGTATGTATACGGCAATGGAGGAATCTGTTGCAATGAAAAAAAATTTTCTTCTTGGTTTACGTTCATGTTGCTATGATTATCATTACCCAGGGGCTATATCATTAAGGAAAGTTTTTAACATAATAGTATAATGAATGTTTTTATAATTTAAGATGATACTTTATTATTCATAAATCTTGAAACTCACAGCAAACGTTTAATTTAACACTTTTTTTTTTTGATCATTTTATTTTCATTTTTTTAAACTAATAAATAATTAAAATGAAATACAAGATTTGTCGAAAGCAACTGAAATATTTTTATTCTATTCATTTAATTATAAATATAATAAAATACATTCTTTTATATTATATTTAAAATTATACGGCATTAGTTTAAATCTATTAAATTTATTTGAAAAATTAATTTTACTAATTGAAATTAATATTACATAATAATTAATTTAAATTTAAGTTGAATTAAAATTAAATTAAATAAACAAAAGGTAAATTAATCTAAAAAAATAATTTAAAATCTGTTTGTTAAAGTACAAAATATAAATTAAATAATCCTTAAAGCCAAGATTATAATTTACATTTTTAAACAAATATAAATAATACTTTTAAAAAATTTTTTAATTTAATTTTGAAATAATTATTATAGTTTATTATTTTAATTATATTGATAAAAAGACTTCACTTTTACTGATCCATAAATAATGCAATTTATAAATTATAAAATATATTTTTCTATATAGAATAATAATATTTGAAAATTTGAAGAAAATCGGAACTTGTTATATTTGAAAGGAAAAGTATAAAAAGTGAAATCGGAAGATATTCTTCCTTCCTTTGCCCAATACTTTATGGAATCATTAGTGCATGTAATGATTGACAATTTATTATTGAAAATAATATAATACCACACACATATATATATATGCCTATAATGGAGAAATCTTGAATGATTTGCAATTTTTTTAGCAAGTGTCCTTGAATTTTTTTTCGACTTCATTAAACATCCGAAAAAAAGAAAATTAGGAAATTATAAAATTACAACTATTAAATAAAAAAAAAAAAAAAAAAATTCTTTATATTTCCAAAGTTACTTAAGAAAGATGAGTAAATTTTTTTTTTATATGGAAACGCATATTTTATTATTGACGATTGTTGCTCAAATAAAAGACCTTGTATAAATATATTGCGAATGCATTTAAGTGGGTTTGAATTTATATATACGCAGATAAAGAAGATTCGCGAAAGTTAATTTATAAGAACAAAGTAAACGTACGAAAAATCGTCAGTTTCCGTTGTTAAATACAAATTTCAAAACTCTTATTTCCTAAATAATTTTTTTTTCTTTATTATGGCTTTGTTAATTAAAAATATTATAATTTTGAATTTTTTTTATCATTTCTTTTAAAGATGATAATTTTATTATTATTATTATTATTATTATTATTATTATTATTATTAAAACCATTAATTATGGTAAAAATAATTGTAATAATGAAAATGGAATGTTAAAATAATTTGGTCGAATATACATTTCATAAAAAAAATAAAATAAAATGTTGCACAATTATTCTTTTTTTTTTGGAAAAAAGAAAAGTGGAGATTGCAAAATATGAATAAATTTGGAAACGATGTTAATACATTTGATGTAAGCATGATTACCAGTAGAACTTTCATGAAATTTATATATACGATATTTTTAAAGTTATGTGAAATAAAAAGCCCGTAGGCTTTCGATTCTCAACTTCCTATTCTCAAGATAAAAAAATAATCGCATTGTAAACGTTAATCTCGTGCAATTGACTTTTGAAAATATTGGTGCTTGATAAAAAATGAACAATACAAGTTATATTCATACAAGATATAATAAAAAAGCAATTTAGCAATCTAATTTGCATATAAGGAACTAAAAAAAATGAATATTAAGATTCGAGAAAGCAAAAAAAAATTCAGATAGCAGGAGTTTAGATAATCGAGGTTCACTTAAAAATAAAATTGTTTGTAATTGTAAGGTCGCTAATTTAATTTAATTAATAAATTAACAATATGTAATTCAATAATTACAAATAATTAAATTTAATAATTAACAATAATAATTGTTAATAACAAATTATTAATTAATAATAACAAATCCTACATAGAATTTTTTACATACACACAAAAAAAAATTTCACCTAGAACAGCTATATGTTTCACTAAAATAGCAAAAGTTTTCGCTAATCTAGAGAAATATATTGCTATTCCAGAGAAACTTATCGCTGTTCCAGGTGAAGATTTTTTTGCATGATTTTATATTTTTTATATTTATTATAATTTTTTTAAATTTTTATTTATTTATTTTGATTAATTTGAAATAAGCAGCTAAAGGAAAGTAATGAAATTCGTTTTCTTCTAAATTAATATATTTTGGGACTTCAGAAAATAATATAAAATTATTTTTTTTTTTTCTCTCTCGATAGTCACATGTGTGCTCGAGTACTTAAGTACTTAAAAATGAATATATATATTAGGAATATTATTAGAACGAGATCAATCGAGCGCGCGCCTCGTCTCGAAAGAACGAACGCACTTATGCACGGGGAATTGCGCTTGGGCGTATAAAGTATTGGGGGGGGGGGCCTCACTTCTTGGGGACTTACGAATGAACGGGGCGGAGGTGGTATAGTGGCGGGGTATAAGCAGCCGCCAAAGAAACACCGGCGAAAGGGAAAATACCGTCAAGTCTCTTTTTATTTGTCAGTGCCCCGTTTTTTGACACGGCCGATTCGATCGAGTTTCATTTGTCCATTAGACACTCAACCACTGTCCGCGCTACCAGTTTGCATAAACGTGTTCGCCATATAAAAATTTTAATCACAAAAAAAAAAAAATGATGCATCTCACCTGATGATTGCGGAAATTGCGCGTCCATCGTTGACCCGCTAAAATATTTTTATTTTCCAAAAAAAAATAATCTCCAGTTTTTAAATAATTTTTTTTTTGGCAAAAAGAAACGTATATTTGTAAATTTTGTGAAACTCGTGCTGTGATATATTTTTTTTTTTCAATATTGTGCTGTGGTGATTTTTATTTTCTCGGGCGGATTTATGAAGTGAGTGTGATGTACGTAACGCTGGATTAGGAGGCGAATTTAGGTAGTTTTTTTCTGGATTAAATTACTATATAATACATTTATTAATTATAATTAAGAATTAATTTATAATTAATTATGTAGGATTTCAAATGACGATTTCAATATATAATTTGGATCCTTTATTAGTTTTATTTAAAAAAAATACTTTGTTTAAATTTTCCAGTAATAAAAATTAATTTAAATAACTTTTTAATATTATATAGAATAGTTTCTTATTGTTTTTTTAGACGTATAATTTATATAATAAATTTTTACATTCAATATTTGTTATATAAATGAAAATTAATTAATAATAATTTATAAACTTATTTCTAAATAATAAATATAAATAATGATTAATATAATAATATACTAATAAAATAATAATTTTTTTTTTTATAAATATTCAATATTTATATTTTTGCAAATAAAAAAAAAATTATAAAAAAACTACAATTGTTGATAACAAAAAAATATATTACTAACTTTAGGAAATACTGAAATTCTATATATACAATTTTATTCGATGAGTAATAAACACGTGAGAACATTTAAGGAATAGAGTGTAAAATTGAAAAAGTTGTTTGAAGCGAATCAGTGTTGTTACGGGACAAAGTAGAATTGCAGAATATTAACCAAACAGTATCAGAATAAAACTGACCATTGCTTGTCGGCAAACCACTTTCACGTATATAACTATTAAACTAGATGTTCCTACTAACTTACGTAAAATCAGAGATCACAGCTGGAACAAAAAAAAAAAAAAAAAAAAAACAGTAAATTTCTATTTAATTATGCTGATTCAGATTTTATTCACTTGTAAAGGATGAAATTTTAAATGCATCTTCATATTATTATTTATGATAATGAGTTGAAATATATATTTTTTTTCTACAAGCTAAAAAGAAAATCCACAAACATAGTAATTTATTAATTATTTAACAATGTTGCTTAACAAATTTATGGTATTAATAATAGTAAGTTAGACATTGTAAGAAATGTGCGGAAAAATAATATACTTTGTTAGTACGACAACCAGCTATTTCGAGAATGACAAATTTTCATATAGTCTTTATTTTAGATATTCTCTAAATTTGAATTAGTGAAATACTAATTTAAATTAGTAAGAATTTTCACTAATTTTTAGTAATAAGCTGCAACGCTTATTAATTTAATCCAATTTTGCATATTTTAATCCATTTTGGTATTAAAATAATAAGCGTTGCAGCTTATTTTAATGCCTTTTAATTTTCTGTAAAATAGTAATATTTTATTATAAATTAGTAAAAATCCTTACTAATGTGAATGAGTAGCTCACTTTTCACTAGTTCAAATTTAGAGAGTAAATATCAGAAAAAGTAAATTTTTTATTTCTTCTAATTTTTTTCAACAAATTATATTCTCTTAATTTGAATTAGTTAAAAAAAAAGTTAGTTACTAATGTAAATTATAATATTTCTGTTAGTCTTTTAGCTAAAACTAATTATTAGTTAAATTCACTCTATGCGGTTACGATAAACTGTTATAAAAAAAATTGGATGCCGTAGCACGTGACAATTTTAGACGTACAAATTTCAGATGTCATAACCTATTTGCCCTTATCAAAAATCTTATAAAGCAGGTGCAAAGCAAAAAAAATGCCTTTTAAATAATTTTACTTAATAAATAAAAAAAAAAAAATTAGTTTGAAAATATTTTTTCTGTGGTTTATTAATAATTATAACTGCTGTTATATTTTTTAATTTAATTATTATTTTATTTTTATTATAATTTAAATGACATTGAAAATCGCATGATTTCAATTATTATTACACAGACAAATAAGAAACAGATCTTCCGTATTAGTGTGGGATAAGTTGCATCTTGAATGAAAAGATGAATCACGTTGTAAGCAATCGTGTTTTACTATATAACGGTGATTTGTGTACAATCGACCTCCTTTTCGCGAAGCAATTAAATCACAATATTTTGTCGCCTCTCTTTATTATTATTTAATTAATAAAAATTATTTATGTAAATTATGGAATTTTCTATAATTTTATTATTTTAGAGAAGTTTTTTTTTAACATTATTATAGTTATAGTTTTAAAGTCTATTTTATGGAATCATTATAGTTTTTTTTTGTTACAAATTCTTGTTCGAAGATTATTACTGTAGTTTATTATTAATATTATTTCCTTAAATTCATTTTATGAAACTTGTAAAATGTATTTTTTTAATGTTCAGCTGTGTAGAATAAATTCTTTACTTGTTAAATTTAACATTTTTATATTTAACAAAGATATGTTGTTTTTAATGTATGTTCAAATAATTGAATGTAAATATTTCAAACAACTTCATTTATAGGGAGAAATATTTATTTTCTCTTTTGAATATTATGATGTTTATTGTAGTAAATTTTTTTTTGCAAACATATTTAATATTTTCATAAGTGTAAATTTGTAGTGTCAAATATTATACTAGCTTTCACTTAAAATTGGCATAGGTGTTATGTTTGTAAACTAGTTGAAACTAAATGATTTGAGACGTAAATATATAAGTATTTTAGTTTTTAAGTGAAGGCTGTTGAGCACAAAAAGATACATATCTGTACGATCATTTTAACAAAACAGTATAGTTACAAAAGTTTACTGTTTTTGTATAATAAACAAAAAAAAAAAAAATGTAAATCCATTTGCTCTGATCATCTGTTTAGATTTTCTGATCAGTCGATTGATATCAAAATAGTTTTCATTACTGACTGGGACTAACATGAAGGTAGAGAGTAAGCAAAAGTAAAAGTAAATCGAAGGCACGAAAGTATCACAGTAGATACAGGAGTGTGGAATTTTGTATATTATATATATATATATATATATATGAGAATATATGTAAAAAATTACAATTCCAAGAAATTACTTACAAATTTTTTTTTTATTTTTTAAATCTGAATTAGTTTAAAAATTAGTAAAAAAAAATTTACTATAAAATGTGACTAATTTTTAGTGGAAAAATAACTGAAAAAATAGTCAAAACTAATTGAATTATCTACCAGAAATTTTAGTTATTGTAATATAACCAAAAAGTAAATTTGACTAATAATTATTTTTAACTAAAAGATTAGTGAAATATTACTATTTGAACTAGTGACTGATTTTTTGCTATCAAATTAGTTATTTTAAACTAATTCAAATACAATTTTTTTCGTTATAATTTATATAAATTCCAATTTGACTTCTTTAATTAAAAACAAATTAATAATTAATTAATAATAATTGAAGGTTTCTTGATTTTAATTTTTTTTATCTAATTTTAAAATATTCATTTTTTATGTTTTTAAATTAAGAAATTGGATAATTTTCTAAACAGAAAAGCTTTCACTTGTATAACTTTTTCGAAGTTTCTTCTCTTAAAAATGAAAATACTTTATAGAATCAATATCTTTACACAAGAAATCGTGTATAGAGTTTCATAATTTAGAGAAATGACCGTTTCAATCTTCCTCGATTACGTCGAAAGAAAATCTTAAGGTTGTCAATCAATATGAGTGTTATAAAACATTGATTATTGTGAGTAAATTAATTATCTTCGAATGATGTGCAATTTTTAAGGAAATTAAAATTTTTTTTGCTTCGCACCTGCTTTATAAAATGTCTGATAATGGCAACTAGATTTTGAAATTTGTACAAAATCCATCTCCTACATAATTTAAAAAAAGTTAAAAAAATAATAAACTATAATTATCACGTACTACAGCATCCAATTTTTTTTTATAACAGTTTATCTGATACTATGACCGCATAGAGAATATTGGGTACATTTATATTATTATTGATTCAGTTGATCAAAATTAAACTGTAAGAATATTGTTTGTTTAATAATTAATAATTAATAATTATCAATTAACAATTAGTAAATTTTTGTTTCCAGAATGGAGCTGAGGTTTTCAAGATGCTCGGTGGCTCTTTTGCTGCTTCTATTCGTTGCAGTAAATGCTCTTCGTGGACCAGGAGTGCCGGTAAGATTTTTATTATCAATTAAATTAATGTATTTATCAATTTTTTATTTTCCAGATTATTTATTTATGCTCCTGTTTTATTCAGTTAGCGTAAAATTTGAAAAAAAACTGATTTTTATAAATAATATTAAGATCATTTTAATTTTATGGATATATTAAAATTTTATTATTTACACCTTTATTTTTTTTTTAAAGCACGCTATTGTATATGCGTTAGAAACCTTGTAGGTATTGTTTTTGCAAATTTTATTGTAAAAGCAATAGATTTTCTCAATGGCTTACAATTTAGCGGGTTATAAAAGATAATTGACGATGCATGTCCCTAATTAACGTTCACAAAGGAAGCAATTTCGATTAATTTTATAATGAAAGGCATATAGAATTATAATGTGTACTTTTTCATGGAAATTGCAATGACTATTTTACCATCTTGAAATATTGCAATCTTTTCACTTAATTGTGACATTTTCTTTTATGTAGAAATTTTTGGTTTTGAACTTAAAATTATTATTACATAAAATATTTATAGTTTATGAAAAATTTTGTACATTTTTGGTTTTTTTTCTTCTTTTTGAGAAGAGAAAAAAAAATTCTTTTAATTTTGATTGAATTAAATTAAATTAAAATTAGCAGAAAACAAAATTAACTAAAAAATACATGCGTGTTTTAATACCGGAATATATTTTATTCCCTTCCGGAATCTTTCTTAGGGAAAGTAGTTCGCTCATCCGTTTAAAGCGCAAGAAAAGAATTACGATTTTCAATATTCAAAAGTCAATAATATTGTTAATTATAGAGAAAATTTCACTTTTTTTTTCTTCTTTATATATATTTAGATAGAATTTCATTTTGAATGACCTATAAATTTTGTTACAATTATTGATTCCAAATGTCCTTGCTTTTTAATGAATTTTAAATACTCTTATAGACCCACTTTCTAAAGGTTAAACTAAATAACACATTAACAGATGCAAATTAATTGCTTTATTTTTTCATTAACGATTCATATTATTGTGATTTTGATCTTATTTTTCTAAATTTAACTTCCCAAATCTAGATATATATATATATATATATAAATTAGCAAAATTTTAAATAAATCCACATTTTTAGAGTTATTTTGGTTTAGAAACAAAAATAATAAGTAAAATTTTGAAAGTGAATAATTTGCATAATAATAAGAAATCGATAAAAGAAATTTAAAATAATTTAGTTTGAAAATATATATATATATATATATATATATATATATATATATATATATATATATATATATATATATATATATATACAGGGTGATGAAAAAGTCGCATTCAAAATTGCAAAATGAGTTCCAGGAAAAAATTCTAAGATAGCACTTCTTGTTCTTTTTTCAAAATTCGCAATAGTTTTTAAATTAATTGAAATTAACTATATTGAAAAGTCACGATAAATTTGAAAAATTTGATCGCCATTTCTGTCACGCGGCCAACTTCTCTATTGGAAAAAAAATCAAAAGAATGACTAACTTTAGCCTAAATGTCATGAAGTGATTTGTCAATTTGTAAAGAAAATTAATTGAAAACCACATGCTTATTTTGGTTTTTAATTATAAAAAGAGGTTCTGTTTATTCAGATACTATTTTGATTATTATTGAATCTAATAAATATAAAATAAAAAGTGATGTGCCGGAAAAAGAAACAGGAATAACATACATATTGAGAAACATTGTTCATAATTAATTGTGTAAAGGTAAGTAGAAAACAATTAAATAAAATTTGCAGGTTAAAAATTGGGTTAATTTATTTTACATACACAGAATAAATTAAATTAATAATTCTGAATTTAAATTAATTAAATATTAATAAACAATAATAATAAAAAATTATTTAACGTATAAATCATTAATCATTTAACTGATTAATATTAATATGATATTAAATTAATTTGAACATTTATTATATTAATTTATATTTTTGAAATTTTTGCATATATGAGTAGCCCAATAAAAATTGTTTTTGCCACTTCAGTTGTCAAATTTCTTTGAATTCCGGTAATATCATCAATTTCAACCCAGATATTCTGTCTTTTACATATCGCTGTATAATGACCCATCATGCCTTGTGAATCAGCGCCAACTTTAAACCTCTTATTTTTGCATGTTGGTTCTAGAAGATTATTTATATTCCTAATTACGCCTAATAGTATGAATTCATATTCTTCATTTCCGGCGAAATCAGGGAAGCTGGATGGAATTTTTTCTAAATTAATTTTTTCATCGTCCTTTTCCATTTCCATGAACACAAATGTACCTTTATTTTTAACAAGTTGCATTTAATTAGACTAACTCATACTGATATTTTATGTAAAAACTTATTATTTAATCAAACAGTTTATAGAAAATTATAAAATTTTAATCATTTTCTATTTCAGCTTTCTTAAAGGATTATAAAACAGACAAGTTCTAAATGAACATTTGAAAAGTCATCAGAAACACATAATTGACATTGAATTTCCCAATTAATATATCTCGACTACAATGAAAAACACCATGACTACGGCGAGTACCACGGCGGTCACTCATCTGAAGTACTAACCATACTCAACCATACACCACCCGAGCTATATCAACTGTTTGAAAAAATATAATGTTCTTTTTTCTAGAATGTTTTTAAAAATTTTTGACTCAATAAATTTTTGCAGAAAATTTTCCAGGCAAAAATTTATCAATTTGTTAACCTAAAAATAATTTCTTCTAGAAATCATTCTATTATTCATCATTATTATGAATTTCACCTTTATGATGGTTCTTTAATCTTACCACTAGATTCATACGTGCTTGTTACAATTCCCAAGCATTTTGAGCAGGATTTATCAGGTTCAAAAAAATTGAACAAACTTCTTTCTGAACGGGGATTTTCCAAAAAGGAGTTATTCAATAAAAACTCTCTTTTTAAGTATTTTTTCATTTGTCCACATTTCAAACATTTTCTGCATATTTGCGACTGCGGTAAGTTTTCGAATAACTTTTGCGATAAATAAAACGCATTTATCGAACACTCGACAAAAATGCTATTTTTATACGAGGTTATTTTCTTCTTATCTAAATTATTAATTAATTCCTTCAAAATTATTCCTCTTTTTAGATAAGCCTCTTTAACACCATTCTGTTTTATGAATAAAACTAAATTCATGGTTGTATTCATTGCTTGAAGCTGAGAAATTAAATTTTCAACTTTTAAATTATCAATAGTAGCAACAATTAAAATCTCCAGCAACGAATCCATTCCACAAGTGTTTGAAAATTTATGGTTCACTTTGTTTATCATTACACTCTAAAATTGAAAAGAAATTGTACTATAAAATGTAAATAATGATAATTGTAATAATATAACGGTCAAAAATTTCTAGTGTTTTAAAAAATTGTTGGATTTTAATAAAAAAATTTTTTAAGAAAGATGTTCAAATTTGACTTTTAAAGCTACGAACGTTATAAGTTAAATGATTTTTTCAAGAGATGATCAATTTGATTGGAAGAGCCATACTAATATTCAAAAATCGACAGATGAGAATATTAGTTTGTTCATATTTTTTGAATTTAAATAATTAAAAGTCTTTACATATAAATGTACTATACCTTAAGGTTTGGATCATTTCCATTTTTGAGAATTGGAATTTCATTTGAATTTTTATGCAAAAGTGCATCTATTGTATCTTCATTATTAATATTGCAACATAATGAATTTTTTTCAATTTTCTTTTTTTTGAATAGTGTAGAAAAATTATCTTCCAAACTTTCTTTTTTTATCTTTAATTTTTTGACAATTGGAATTTTCTTTGAATTTTCAGGCAAAAGTGCATCTACCTTATATTTATTATTATTGAAGGATAACAACTCATTTTTCCTTTTCGTTCCCTTCACTTTTGTAGAAAAATTATTTTTAGATTCTTCCATTACCGAATCTAAATGAAACATTTCAGTTAAATAAGCACTAAATAAGCAAAAAAATTATGATATATAAAAAAAGTAATTTTGTCATCGTGCTTCAACTAATTTTAAATACCTTCATTTAAAAGAATTTTTTTAATATTTTCTGGAACAAATGCAAAATAAAAATTATCATCTTTATCGTCTTTATAATCATTATAGTTATCACTATCATCTTTATCATCATCGTCATCATCATCATCATCATCATCATCATCATCATCATCATCATCATCATCATCATCATCATCATTATTATTATTATTATCTTCGTCAACATCATTTCTTATTTTTTTTGGTTGTCCTAATATTTCTCTAATCCTATTAGAATCAGCTTCGTCGTCCTCTTCAAAGTTATAATCCTCATCCATGTCGACACGAACCTTTTGAACCCTATAACTCTGAAATTGTCCTTTAGATGACAGATATTTTTCTTTTAGTTTACTTAATCTTGCAATTTGATTCTTTTCTTCTAGTAACAACTAGTATCAAAATAAGAAAATTAGAGACAAATTAAAAGGCTGATTATCAAATAAAATAATAAATCAAATAAGCTATGGTTTTGGGATTAGATTAGGAGCTAGACAAAATAAAGCATTTTTAAAAGAATTTTGGCATTATCTTGAAATCTTTTTGGTTCAGCTTTAGGACTTGATGAATCACATCTATAAGGTTCAATTTTAGGACTTGATGGATCTCATCTTTTAGGATCAGTTTTAGGACTTGATGGATCTCATCTTTTAGGATCAGTTTTAGGACTTGATGGATCACATCTATAATGTTCAATTTTAGGACTTGATGGATCTCATCTTTTAGGATCAGTTTCAGGACTTGATGGATCACATCTTTTAGGATCTGTTTTAGGACTTGATGGATCTCATCTTTTAGGATCAGTTTTAGGACTTGATGGATCTCATCTTTTAGGATCAGTTTTAGGACTTGATGGATCACATCTATAATGTTCAATTTTAGGACTTGATGGATCTCATCTTTTAGGATCAGTTTCAGGACTTGATGGATCACATCTTTTAG